TAAGATTTGGGCAGGGGTTTGAGTCTTGGTGAGCGGGGCCAAAGCTGCCCCATAACTAAGTCTAACATTATCTATCCACAAATTCTTGAATTGTGGTGGTGCTGCTTTTGCTTTTCCCGCTCTTTGGTACCCTTTCCCCCGGCACAGGGAATGACTCTCTCTTTCTGTTCCAGCAGGGGATAGCACAGTGAGCAAGAGCAAGCAGGAAACCTCTTCATCCACATGTGCTGGTAAAAAGCAGCTGAGGACAAGATGCCTCCGAAGCGAACCAAAGGAAACGTTTCACAGGGGCTGAGCCAGAAGAAGTCCCTCAAGAATCAGAAGAAGTCAGACAAGCTACAGAAGAGCAATCTGGGTAAATCTGCCATCCGAGGGAGAGGCGTGAGGAAGAGCAAAGACACTGTCATCCACCAGAAAACATATGCAGGAGAGAAGCTGAACATCTGCATCGAGTGTGGGAAAAGCTTCACCCAGAGTTCAGACCTTCTGAACCATCAGAGAACCCACACGGGGGAGAAGCCCTATAAATGCATCGACTGCGGGAAAAACTTCAGTGTCAGCTCCAACCTGAGTCGACACCAGAAAACCCACACAGGGGAGAAACCCTACAACTGCTCCGACTGCGGGAAAAACTTCACAGACAAGTCGACCCTGACTCAGCATCGACTGCGGGAAAAGTTTCAGCCGTAGCTCCCGCCACAAGAAGCGCCTGAAAAGCCCCGCCGGGAAAAAGCAGGACACATGCCCCCTAGAGGACAGAGCTGCTGCCGGGAAAGTCAAAAAACCCAAAGCATCGAAGAAGAGAACTTCAGCCATCGAGATCCCCAACACGTGTGCCGAGTGCTGGCAGAGCTTCAGCCAGAACTCGGACCTGGTCAAACACATGCGGATCCACACGGGCGAGAAACCCTACGAGTGTCCCGACTGCGGGAAAAGATTCAACGTCAGCTCCAACCTGATCAGACACCAGAGGATCCACACGGGGGAGAAACCCTACACGTGCTCTGACTGCGGGAAAAGCTTCACTGACAAATCCACCCTCACCCAGCACCACCGGATCCACACGGGCGAGAAGCCGTACGAGTGCATTTACTGCGGGAAAAGCTTCAGCCGCAGCTCCCACCACAAGAGGCACCAGAGAACCCACACAGGGGAGAACCCCGTGTCCTTCCTGCCTTTATGGCCCTACCCCACTCAAGCATGCTAAGGGTCAGGGGAGGGGAGAAGAGGCCATTCTGTGGCAGGGGGAGGTGGCTGGCAAAGATGGGGGCTGTGTGCTTGTAGGCTCTGCGTTTTCGGGGTTAGTGGGGTGGTGAGCAGTGGGAGGTTGTGGCAGGGGTTGTTGGGGGAAGGGGTAGGTTCTTGGGAGAGCTGGTTGTTTTAGTGGTTGGGACTTTGGGATGATGAGCAAGGAGAACAGGCCGGCGGCTGGGGGTGGTGAGTAGCTGGTAGGACACAAGGGGCGTGTGTGTGTGTGTGTGTGTTGTTACGTTTTTACTCTTGGCCTGTGTAGGACAGGTTGTAGGTTTCCTTCCGTTTCCATTAGGATGAGTGCCTGTGCCCCAGAGTGCACCACTGGGACTAACACAGACTGGGCTCACGAGGGAACGTCTTGGCAGGGAGGCCTGGGTGCCGAGCAGGGTGCTAGAGGTGGCCCTGCCAGGGCAGGAGCAAGGCACAGCTTTGTCACCGTGCATACCGAGGGCCTCTCGCCTGCCGGCGGCAGCACATTCAGCGGTTCATCAGGCTCCCGCTCTGGTTGTATAGGAGTCTCGTTTCGACCTGACTGTGTCAGCAGCCCCGCTCCGTTACGGACATTGACAGGCCCAGCCGTTGTTCATGGGGACTTTGTACGCACTGTAGAACAAATAGCGAGTAACAGGATGTTGAAACCCAAACTCACGGCCCTTTTTTCGTTCTTGTGGTTCTTACGGTCTCGGAGCTTTCATCTTTCTTCTCTTCCCCAGCCCACATATAACCAGTTCAGGGAATCCCTGGCGCTGTGAGCAGAACTTGGGTGACCTGTGAGCCAGAGAGGAGCTAGCATGGCCCCCTCCCTGCCCAGGGCTTTCCACAGAATTTTTTCTTGGTAGTTTTTTGGGGGAGGGAGGGTGTTTGGTATTTTTGTTTCAACCATCTGGCAACCCTACTCGTGGTACGGCTCTGCTACCTACCCCAATAAAGGAGAACTAACAACTTAAAATGCACCAGCAGCAGACGAAATTTTCTACGTTCTGGGTCCTAGTGGCGCCCTCCCACAGTCTGGCCCCTGAGGCGGCCGCCTCAATTCACCTCGTGGGAAGGCCAGCCCTTCCCCGCCCCAAGAGGCCGGACACTTTCCGAGGGGAGCAGCCTGTCTCCTTCTCCCCAACAACAGCTGCAGCACCGCTGCTCTTTCTCTCAGGACTATCCCTGCCTATAAAGAGACGCACACTTGGACTCCTTCAGACGTCTTCGCCTACCCCCCACTTTCTAGTCAGTTACCCCTTTCTGTGTGTTTGTCGCCCGTCCCCGGCTGAATCCCTTAATTACTAATCCCGCTTTAAAAGAGAAGTAGCTGGCACAGCTCCTCGCTCAACTCAGCTCCCTTGGGTGATGGCTCCAGGCACTACGTCTACGTCTACACTGGCATGATTTTCCGGAAATGCTTTTAACGGAAAAGTTTTCCGTTAAAAGCATTTTCGGAAAAGCACGTCTAGATTGGCAGGATGCTTTTCCGCAAAAGCACTTTTTGCGGAAAAGCGTCCGTGGTCAATCTAGATGCGCTTTTGCGCAAAAAAGCCCCGATTGCCATTTTCGCGATCAGGGCTTTTTTGCGGAAAACACAACTGTGCTGTCTACACTGGCCCTTTTGCACAAAAGTCTTTTGGGAAAAGACTTTTGCCTGAACGGGAGCAGCATAGTATTTCCGGGAAAGCACTGATGATTTTACAGGAGATCGTCAGAGCTTTTCCGGAAAGTCAAGCGGCCAGTGTAGACAGCTGGCAAGTTTTTCCGCAAAATCAGATGATTTTGTGGAAAAACTTGCCAGTCTAGACACAGCCTACCTGTGTGCCACCTTGTGCTGGCCCATTCTAAGGTCACCTGGGACCCAAATGCCTTCCCAGCCCTCCTCTTGGCGCCCACCAATTTCTCACCAGAATTTAATTTGGAGGGGAGGCTCCCCCTGGATTCTGGTCCTAAACCGTTGTTGCTGATTAAAGACCAGCTTCATTGCGTCTCAGAGGTAAGTCCCAGTGAAGTGTCTCAAGATGGCTCAGCAGCAGGCTCTGACCCCTGGGTTCTCTGCACCAGCTCGGAGCGACGGGCTTCTCTCTTGCTTTGTCTGCCTCCCATGATCTGCCTCCCTTGTGAGCATGCCCTGCAGGTGCGGCTGGATGGGGCCTTCTGGGACCAGAGTGGCTCATTAACCTTGGTTCACTAATGTGGGGCTTAGACACCCCATCACCCCCTCCCCCTTAGGATGGGGTCCAGTGCTGAGCCCTTTTCCTGCCCCTGTCTCCCTCCCAAGAAAAGGAATCCGCATTTGCCCAGGATGAGGGAATCCCCGGCAGTCACAGCACTGTGGAAAGCTAGACCCCTGGGGCGCAGGCATTTGTGTCTGTTCATGGTGCTCAGCCAACGGAGAGACGTGGGCTGCGAGGCACAAGGAGAGGGAGTTACCCAGGAGATATCAGCAAAGTGTCTCCATGGCCCATGTCACAGCCAGGGCCATTCCCCATCCGTGGGTCAGTCACCCTCCCGAGAGAACAGCTGCTTCTCCTGTCTAGGACTTGGCGTTCTTCACCCTTGACCTCTTTGGACACCACAGCCCTGAGGCCCCTGCTGGTGCTCCAGCCCCGCAGCTCCCGCCCCAATGGGAACAGCAGGGGAGGGGGACAGTGCCTGGGGGCAGCAGGAGGCACAGAGCCACCCACATAAGCATCTCCCTCATGCCCAGACCGAGAGAACAGCTGCTTCTCCTGTCTAGGACTTGGCGTTCTTCACCCTTGACCTCTTTGGACACCACAGCCCTGAGGCCCCTGCTGGTGCTCCAGCCCCGCAGCTCCCGCCCCAATGGGAACAGCAGGGGAGGGGGACAGTGCCTGGGGGCAGCAGGAGGCACAGAGCCACCCACATAAGCATCTCCCTCATGCCCAGAGCCCACGCCCCCATTGCCTTCATGCACCCCCCCACCCACCCACGCCCCCCCCCCCCCACCC